TGGAATAAATGCTTATTATGTTACTCTCATAGGGATCACAGGAACACCAGCTTTTCTTTGACCTTTTCCCCTAGGTGAGATTTCAGCATGAGGTGTACCCACAGGCCCAGGTGGCATCTGGGCCAGCAGTGGATCAGCCAGTCTCTCGGCAGGTGTTTGTTGTGCAGGACTTGGAAATTCGAGACAGACTGGCTACCTCACAGATGAACAAGTTCCTCTACTTGTATTCTAGCAAAGAAATGCCCCGAAAAGCCCATTCTAACATGGTGAGGAAGGCACCACACTCACATTAACCCAGTCACATCTCGGCCTTGTGTAACATTCTATGTACTTGTGGTCTTAGTTGACAGTTAAGGCGCTGCACATGTGTCCCGAGTCGGGCCAGGCTCCTCAGGAGTGCTGTTTGCGTGTTTCCCTGATGCCTCTTCGCCTCAATATTGATCAGGTAAACACTCTGACACAGACAATTTTTCAAGTGTATCAAAGATATGTATCAGCATCCTCAGTAAATGTGTTGAAGTGACAGCCTTGTTTTTTGTTTCCTTGAAGGATGCACTGTTCTTCTTGAAAGACTTCTTTACCAGTCTTGCTACTGAGGTTGAGTTTTTCTCACCGCCCATTCAAGAAGGTCATTATTCTTAGTAACTCAAACATCATTTAACATAGCCCTAGCACTCAAATATTGGCTCCTAATATGATGACATTTTCTTCTGTAGCTGTCTGTGTTTCCACAAAAAAAGTGGCTGCCCCAGAGATCTCCTGCAGCTTCTCGAAGCACGCTGGCAGCAGCCAGGACCCGGTCCCGATCATCTCAGTGCCTGCTCAGAGACGTTTGAGTCATAACGGTTTCTCCACATCTGGCAGGGAGGAAGTGACTGATAATGAAGCCTCTGCTCCTTCCTTTACAGACCAACCAATCTTCTTTAGGTCAGCATTAAAAAAACGAAACAATGACTAAATATTACGGTTTTTGCTCTTATTCTGAAAAAAATAGAATATTCCTACTAAGCTGTTTGCATGGCTGATAGAAATGAATATTCTACTAATATTCCTGTTTACATGCACCCATGCATACTCTGATTAATGTGCCCTAATGTCATTTATAACAACAAAAATCTTGAAAAGTGGAACGACTGGAGCCACTTGTGCTATTTTGCTCCCTTACATCAAAATATGATTTTGAGTTTTCCACAGGAGGTGGAGACTCTGCGAATATAGCCTCCTTCTTTTATTCCTTCAACCACCTTCTCGAAAAAGTCTTTGTAGTGATATTTGCGCGAATCCAGAACCCTGTCGATATCCTTTTTTTTTTTTTCATGCTGTTCAAAAGTAGGTGTGTTTCTTCTTCTGACCAAAAGTTTAGGCTTTTGTTTTGTGTACACATCTTTATCCCAGTTGGTTTTTATACAACGCATCATTGACAATACACAGAGCTGACACTAAAAAATCAAGAGGCCAAGTGGCGCAAACTGCTAAAAACCCCCAACTGAGATGCATCTTCTGAATGCGCTGTATACATGTCCAGAAAATGCTTCTTAAACCAGAATAATACTGGCACATCCCACATCTTGATCAGAAAATGCTCATGCAAATATCTCATGCGCATTCTTTTTTATAGCCTTGAATGTATGTGATGCACATATAATTTTTCTCACTCAACTTGTTTATGTTTGGTTACATTTTGTTTTTCTGACAGGGAGTTTCGATTTACCTCTGAGGTTCCCATTCGCTTGGATTATCATGGGAAACATGTTGCAATGGAGCAGGTACATGATCTTAGTGGGCTGTGTATTAATTCCGCATTATTCCATTTGTGCCTTGTGACTGATTTTATGTTTGCTGTTTTTCAGGGGACATTCGCAGGGATCATTATCGGGTTGACGCAGCTCAATTGTTCAGAGCTTAAACTGAGGCGCTTGTGCTACAGACAAGGGTATGTTTATCTCACTTAATGTATATCGGACTGTGTTGCTTATGCTAATAGCTAGGATTTAAGTAAGTTATAGAGCAAATTTATATAATACATAATACATAATGCATCCTTATCAAATGCGTAAAAAAGTCTACTTGAGGAGAACCAATAATCGTTCCCAGGAAACTAATACTTGTCTGCATTTCAGATTGTTAGGTGTGGATAAGCTGTTTTCCTATGCAATAAATGAATGGCTGAATGACATTAAGAAGAACCAGCTTCCAGGACTGCTGGGCGGTGTGGGACCTATTCACTCTCTGGTACAACTAGGTGAGTAGTACAACACATGCTCTGAACTTAGTCACAGGCTTTTTGGTGTCATTACATGAACTGAGATTAACAATGTGCTTTAAGGGTCATTATAAATGGCAAAAAGAAAAATTACATTTTTCAGTCATAACTGCACCAGATTTCTTAACAATATATATGTTGCTAAATGTGTAGCTACGGCAACGTGTAATTCATGATTTCAATATTAAAGTGCTGTCGTTCACAGTGTGTGAGTTCCCTGATTCAGGTGTACCTCTTGGGTAAAGTACTCCCTGTTCCTAAGATGAATGTTCTGTTCAGTTCAGGGATTCAGGGACTTGGTCTGGCTCCCGATTGAGCAGTACAGGAAAGACGGTCGGATAGTCCGTGGGTTTCAGCGCGGCACTGCCTCCTTTGGAACCTCTACAGCCATGGCTGCTCTGGAGCTCACCAACAGGATGGTGCGGACTATCCAGGTAAACTCCTCTTAACACTTTTACTAAAAAAAAGTCTATTTACTACCAATTCATTCCTGAAGCATCAGACAAATCTATTATTTTGTGTCATTTTTAGGCAGCAGCTGAGACGGCCTACGACATGGTGTCTCCAGTGCCTGATGAGAGAGACATGAAGAGAATAAAACGGTACTCCCATTACGGACTGGCTCATCAGCCAGTTGACCTGAGAGAAGGTGTAGCCAAAGCCTATACTGTGGTAAAAGAGGTAACCAAACCTAAAGCTAAAAATTTCACTTCAGTGACGTTAATGGAATGAAACTGTATTTTGCATGAGGATTTTGTGGCGTTAACATCCACAGGGCATCACAGACACAGCACTGACCATCTACGACACAGCCACCCGGGAGCACGAGCAGCGCGGGATGACGGGCGCAGTGGGTGGAGTTCTCCGCCAGTTGCCACCAGCAGTGGTCAAGCCACTCATTATGGCCACTGAAGCCACCTCCAACGTCTTGGGTGGGATGAGGAACCAGATTCACCCTGATGCACGCCAAGAGGAGTCTCAGAAATGGAGGCAGGGCGAGGAGTAATTTTTATTGCCATATGGTTCCTGAAAGCATGACTGTACAGAAGCAACAGCTATAAAAATGTATTGGAAACTTTCTTCAGAGGTCCTTTTTGAAGAGGAACATCTCACATGTGCACATAGAGCCCTGGTGTAAATAAAATACTGTTCATCTCGTGGCAATTTGAGCTACTGTGATTCAGCTTGTGTCAGCTTACCAGTTTCCTCACAGTGCCTTCATGGTTATCAGCATTGCCCAACTGTTTGTTAATTCAAAGGGATAAAGAGTGATGACTTTATGAGCCACATATTGTCTTTATGTGGATTATGTTCTGCTGTAGGGTAGACAGCGGCATTATAAATATAAAATCATATTGAAGAAATAGGCTGTTGTCTCATGAGGCGCAACATTTGCTTCATTCTCAAGCAGCTCTGTTTACAAGTTGTATGTGGTTATCCTATTTGGTGTAAACAAACACTAATATTATAGGTGTAATGACCCTTAATTTATATAACGTACTGTACGTATGTGGGCCTTGTTATTTACTGTAAATATTCCTGATGTGTGACATTTCATGCAAATTTAAGAGAACAAGTTTAGGCACTGAATGTGTTACAGTCCTGTTATCAGCACCTTTAAGTGACTCTGAGGGTTACTTGCTCAAATGAATGAGATGGTAAGGTTACCCAAATTTATTAAGTTTCACAATTTTATTTTGAGCTGTGATCAATGTTGTGTAATGTTCACAAGAGCTGCTGCTCTGAAAAGCTGCTTTTAAAAAATTAAAATGTTTTATTGTGTCAGTCCACCGCTCACAGTTTCAAAATGTTGACACAAACTTGTACAAGAAACTATCTACTCACAATCTTGAAGCAAAGTCTTAATATTCTGCGCAACTGTTTTTTTTTAACTGTATGTTTGAAAATTGATATTTGGTGTGATATGTTGTGTTGCAGACATTTGAGTTTCCCATTTTCTTGTTTATGTGGAGAGGATAATACTTATTGTACATAAGTGTACAGTTAAATTTGTATTAAAAGCATGAAAGGGAAATAAAAACGGTGATCCATCAGAGTGAAGTGTGGTTGGATGTGATTTTTATGTTGCATAAATAAATGTGACAGTTGTAGGGGCATTTCTATACATTTATACAGAGATTTTAGGGGATTTTCTTTTATTTATTAAATTGTCGATGGATTTTGTTATTCGGGTTTTGGGTTTTGTTTCAATGAGAATATTTTTGTTATAAAAAAATGCATTTTAAGCAGCATATTTGTACATTTTTGTCACGAAGTATTTTATTTTGAAAATTATATTCAGTGACAGTTGTAGGCATTTCCGTTTATACAGTTACATACATATTTTTTGGGAAAAACCTTTTTAAATCATCATTAATGGATTGTCTTATTCAGGTTTTGTTTCTATAATATTTTTGTCATTTGGAAAACTTGTATAATAATTCACAGCAGTTAAACTTTAAGATTACTGTCGTGAAGAATTTTATTCCGAAAATTCTGTCTCATAGTGACAGCTGTAGGCATTTCCGTTCATCAGTTACATCCGGCCGGAGATTTTTTTGGAAAAAAAAAAACTTTTTTAAATTATCATTGATGGATTTTCTTATTCAGGTTTTGTAATTACAAACTTAAATAACAGCAGTTTAATTTTTACTTTTTTGTCGCGAAGAATTTTATTTTGAAAAATGTAGCCCGTTAAAACGGAAGTTGTCCTTTTGCCATGGAAACAGGAGGACGGGGCAAGTTTTTTTTATTATGTTGTGAGGCTTGTTAATCTTCATTTTTTGCTAACCTTACACTTGTAGAAACTTTGAGGCGATGATGAACGTATTTTCTGACTCGAGCAGTTTTTCTTTTGACGCTGCGCCGACTGACGAGTTTCTTCACCTTCGTGCACGCGCGGCCGGACTGACTTTTTGCGGGTGCGCGCACACTGTTTTCCTGTGTAAATTGGCCTACTCACTGAGGTATCTTACATAGGTTTATTTAAACTGTGCAGGGTTAAAACTTTACAACTTTAAGCAGCTAGCATTACTTTATGGCACTGTTGAAGTAATTCTGATTGATGCACGTTTACATGTAGATGCAGCATCACAAGACACACAAACAGAGGCCCGCTGGCATCGGGAGGAGACGGTGACCTCTGTGTTGGGATACTTGGGATGGGTCACATGGGAAAACAGCTGCTCCTCTCCCTCCTTGAAAAATCTGGCATCAAACCATCACAAATTAAGATATCCACTAGAAGACCAGAATCTGCAGGTACACTGTCAAAACAAGACACTTTAAGGACAATTTAAAGTCCACATCAAAGTTAGATAGTTATTGTGATGCAGTGAAACTCCAGTGTGTAGACTACATATTTCAGATTCAGATTCAGATTCAGAATACTTTATTAATTCCCGGGGGGGAATTGTTTTTGTTCCAATGCTCCGTGCAAAGTAGAAATAGAAATACAGCATGAATGGAAACAAGAGATAAAGATGAAGATATAAATAAAATACTAAAATAGACAATGAAATAAATAAAATAAAATATTAAAGTAGACATTAAAATAAAATAAAATAAAATAAAATAGTAAAGTAGACAATCTGAAATATATACAATATACAATGAAATGGTTGTAACTTTATAAATGAAATGAGAATGAGTAGTTATATTGTTGTTTTGTTTTATAAATAGCCAAATGAGTCCGATCATCAGAGGGAGGAGTTGTACAGTTGAATACATAGCACTTGAATAGCATTATAATTCAGTGTATACAATAAAGGCCTGTTGTTCAGATGCCAATAATCCTAATGTCTACTACCTATCTGATAGTTCATTTTAAAGCAGATATTGGCCGATACTGATGACGTGCCAATATAATCTTGCCTACCTAAAATGTTTAGACATGAGTTGATTTAACTAACTTGCACCTTGACCTTTCCTTTCTCATATACTCAAAAACCTGCCCTCATGTTTGCCTTGCTGCTTCCTTATTTCAGTGGAATTCATCCAGAAAGGAGTTGAATGTTTTTTTGACAATCGCAGACTGGCAGCGTGGGCAGACGTTCTGTTCCTCTGCTGTCTGCCCTCTCAACTCCCCAAAGTCTGCGCTGATCTCCACTCTCATCTGCCAAAACACTGCCTTGTGTACAGCTTCACCTCTGGTGTCCCTGTCACCAGGTACTCCCACACTCTCACACACACACAGCATTGTTGTTGTTCAGTCACTAAACTCCTCTCTTTTGAACTGTTACTGCAGGCTGTCACGGCTTCTTGGACATGACTTCATTCTCAAACCACAGTATGACTTTGTAGCTTGTGATGCTGGAGATGTGTGGCTGTCGCGCACTCGTCTGACCCAGGCTTTGACAGGTCCATTAGAGGCATCGTGTCCTCTTGCAATGAGTGGTGTGTCATGTTTCATTATTGCAGACTTCAGCTTCTCTCAGAGCTTGTATTTGAACCTGTGGTGTTATATAAGATGGGAGAGAAAGCATTTGAAATTGGGTGTAGTGACATTATTTACATCAATTAAGTTGTATTCCTGTATACTGTTAATGCTGACTTTTAATTCCCATATTTAGGTGGCATTTCTCTGGGTTGGAACTGGGTGTGTGCAGTGTTGTACAGCCTGCTAAATATCTGCACCTCTGCCAGTCTGGGATCCAGTGATGCTCTCTCTCTTATCAACAGCATCCTTAAAGAGAAACGGCCACACACTGTGGAATTAAACGCACACAGTTTCATCAGTGCATCATTTGCATCTTCCCTTACTGCAGAGGAGTAAGTGCAACGCTGTATAGCCCAAGTATAGATATTTTTTCTGTCAAGTTTAACTTAGTCCTCTCAGTCCTGATTCGACTTCTTCTTTCCCGTAAAGGCCTTTTCCCTGGATTTCTCTCACTGACACTCAGATCAAGAAGACACCACTGCTGTGCTTTCTATCAAGCAGCAAACCTCTGCAACAGTGCATCTCTGCAGCGTACAAATCGCTTCTAGGGACACCAGCAAAATTACCAGTTACTCTCTAACATAAAACATAACTGTATATTTGGATGTCCACCATAGATGCAGTGCATTCCTGTGTGTTGCACGTTTTGGTTTGAAAAATATAATCATATATTTCAATAAATAGGCTTCAACAGTATGTTTCATGATACTTGCAGTTTTTGTTTTATTTTGTTTATCTTTAAGGTAAGGTAAGCTATTATTTCTATTATTATTTTATATAATTCATTCATTTATTTAAGTTTTACTATTTTAAGAACATCAACACAAAAGACAAATACATAAACACAACCAGCATAGACTAAACAAAAACACACCTCTGCTGTATTCATAACATTAATAAATCCAAAGTCCATCAGCACAGCACTAATCTTTATATCATCAGGTGACCTATTCTACACAAAAAGCCTGGAAACAGACAAACAAAAGGCTCCCTATGATACAACCAAAGCAAAAGAAGCAATAGCCCACTGTCTCCATCTGTATTTTACAATTGTAATACATTTCAGTACAGTGTCTAGCTCCTATGACATGTTTAGTCCTTTTATACGTTTGGTATTTGGGACCAATCCCCCAGTAAACACAACTTTGGACTTAAAGGGATTTCTTAACCAAACCAACAACTTAAAAATTCTAATACTCCAATCCAGAGTGGTCTGACCAAACAACATTCCCATATACAGTGCAGGAAAGTTCCTCTTTCAGTTTTACATTGCCAACAGCTATTGTTATTTTACAACTTCATTCTGTAGAGTCATAATGGTGTATGATAACATCTATGCAGTACCTTATATTGTGTGAGCTTCCCCCTTGCTTCTTCCACATATTTACCACATCCTGACACATACAAGTATTAATTGTAACCACAAAAAATGTGCTTAATATGCTACTAATTGACAAGCTGTCAGATTCTGGCTGAGAATGTGAACTGAGCTGCTCTGATATAATCAAAAAAAAGAAAAGAAAAGAAAACATAAATAAATGAAAAATAAATAAATAAAATAAAACAAAATTAAATAAAATAAAAATTATTGAATTAAATTATTTTAAATAAATTAAAATAAAATAAAATAAATGAGCCACAGAGAAGTATTATTTTCAGGATATTTACTATCCTGACTCCCCACTCCTAAAACCAAAGTCACGTCCTTGAAATTGTGTGAAAGTGACAATACATTTCACAATGTACAAAATGCAAATATAGCCGGTTTATTCTGTCTTTATATACGTGTGCATAATAAAACTTCTTGTACAGGATCTGATGCTTTGCTTAGATTCGCAGATTTTCGTCAACGCTCGAGAAAACGCGGAAGTGTCAAAAAAATCTGGGTCTGTTTTTTCCTGTAAAGCAGCACCAGCAGCACCGTGGAGAGATCCGTCACATGATTGCAGTGATATGGAGCCTCATTTCCTGACGACCTGAACTGGACTAAAATAAAATCGTATCGAGTTATCAGCTTATCAGCGTGACATCCAGGTAAGATAAATGTGTGCCCGCAGCCTCGGGTTCACTTTCCCTGTGCTAGGTAGCATCCGCTAACGGAAGCTAACAGCTAGCCTCCCAGCTAATGACCGTTAATGTGGATGAAGCTAGCTAAAGACGGCATCACATACACATAACGCTACACATTTAGCTTCAGTCGCTTTAGCTATGAATGTATTAGCATGTACTGTGGTTAATACGGTCTATTAATGTCAAACAGCAGTTCGTTTGGTGAGTTTATCCAGGCAGCGTTGGGAGGCTAGTTTCAGTGTTGTCATCTCTCCCTCCCTGCCTGTGGCTGGAAAGGGGCGGGGCTTCACATTTTCCAGCCACGCAGACAGAGGTGTTTGTCTTGTCTTTACAGCCATGGAGAGATTAGAAGCCACATCAGAGCTCCAGTCGCGGCTGTCATCGCTCTCCTTCTCATCGTTCCCCGGAGTCACATCCAACCAGTGCGACGACAGACCGCTGGACAGGTAGCCTGTTGCTGCAGAAAAGTGCTGCTTATAACGCTGCTGTAAGGAAACGTATTGCCAGTTCTACTTCTTGCATCCTAGTGTCATCTCTGTTGAAATGTTTTGATGTCTTTTCTGCTGCTTTACTATCTGCTCATCAGGCTCCAGAGTACAGACCTTTCACAGAGTTGTATCCAGTTCATAAACCAGGCTGATATGGATGAAAGCAAGGAGGATTTAGGGCAACATTGTGAGGTATTCAATATTAAAGTGTGTTTGAAGAGCTGTCAGTGAGTGGCAATAAACAACGAAGCAAATATAAGATAATTTTTCAGCTTTAATGTCAGTTTTGTTTGTGTGCATTTTAAGGGCAATGAGGAGGCCCCAGCAGAGCCGGCCCTGGGGGAAGGAGGCGAGGAGAACAACAGTGCTGGGAGCTGTCAGCCCTCCGCTGAGATGAAAGGTGAGGACCTGCAGAGTATGTCATCATGTCTGCTGCTTTCTTTAATCTATGCTTCTAAATCACAAGTTTCATAAGTCTGTCACAGTGTAACACTAGCTCTAAAAGCATTAATCTACAAATGTTATAAGGCTCATGTAGGCCAGATAAATAAATATCAAAGCTGCTGTTATGCTCTTTGTGAACACGTCGCCATTTGTTCCTCCCGATGGCAGCCCAGATGCCACCCCTGAAACCCCCAACGACGTGGACATCTGCTGCTCTGAAGGAGCTGAAGGCGAAGCTTCGAATGGAGGATGACAGCATGGTGACAGTGTACCGAGGAGACATCATGACAGTTCACGTGCCTACTGTCCCCGAGGCTAAGAAAGTGTGCTGGGAGTTTGCCACAGACGGTTATGACATTGGCTTCGGCATATATTTTGACTGGACTCCTGTCACAAGCCGGTCTATTACGGTGCACATCAGTGAGTCGAGCGATGACGAAGAGGAGGAGGAGGAGCTGGAAGGTCAGTCAGTGGTCACAACTCAGAATCTAAAGCAACCTTTGAAATCTTTTTTAATTGTGCATATAATTCTACAAAACACACCATGGTTGTGTTTTTATGTGTTGTCCTCCTACTGGGATCTGACGCAGTGTGTTGATTCTGTGGTTTGTGATTCCCGTTGCAGGGCCCGTCACTAACGGAGACATCGAGAAGGGCTCCAAAACTCAAACCAACTCTAACTTGGCTGAAATCCTCCCTGTGTACCGCCAGGACAGTCACCTATCCGTCCAGGGTGGGAGCCACGATTTCCCAGGTGAAGGCACTTATCTCCTGAAGTTCGACAACTCCTACTCACTATGGCGAAACAAAACTCTTTACTACAGAGTTTATTACAGTGCCTGAGATGCCAGTTTATGAATGTATATCATTTACAGGAAAAAATACTACCCTTAAGAACGATGAACTATTTTTGATTCCGTACTTGGAAAAAAAGATGAAGTTATAATATATAAAAGGTTAAATATAGGCATATCTATTTTTTATCACTATCAGCTTGTGTCGCCACACGTTGAGTTTACGATCAGATAGTTTTTGAATGCAGCATTTGCTCCAATGTCTCGCTGATAGATATTTGAAGAAGCCTTGCATATGTGCCATGTTCCTGTGTATGCACTGTGCTATTTGGTCAAGTGCCCGTCATAAAGCATTTATTGTCTCCAGGTGTAACATTTCTATGGTAGCAGTGATCAGGGAACACCTGCACAGGATATATTTCACCAGGCCAGGTGCTAAATCAGCAGTGCTCTAAAGAAATGGATTTTTGTTTTGTGTGTGTATGCAGACACCGTCTATGATTATGTTGCTTTGTTGTTGTCATGTGTATTTATCTTTCTGCTTTGTATCGTAACTTATTCGTTTTTCTTTGTCAAATTTGATCATGTGACGATATAATTATGAAATGCAAATACTGTGCACAGAGCTGTCTACTGTCATAGTGGTGTGTCGGTAAAAGATATAAGAATTGAATGTACTGAAGCAAGTGGTAACAGTTTTCCAGAGTGTGCTTTTTATGACACAATCAAAAGCCATCCCTTATCACATAAAGCTCTTATTGTGTAATATAGATTCAATATTTACATTTGCCTCCTCCCCTCCTCCCTTTAATTTACTGTATCAGAGGCAAAGAGCAGTTATGATGTTCATCTAAATGTATTTTGTGCACAGGTCTATGTTGCCTTGTTTCATCCTGTTTCCAAAATCAATACTTATACCACACTCCATCGTGCGCATGTTCCCAAAGATGTCACAGATTTGGCTGCTAACGCCGCACACAATGTAAAACAGCCGGTTTTAAGCTTCCCATGTTTGCTGTACTGTACTGTACCTTTACTGTAAGTTCTGATGACATTTGATCCTGAAATTTATATCTCACAATAAAGAGAAGATTATCTACTTTTCTTTGTGATTCATTGTGGATCAATTTTATGAACGCTCATAAGCAGATGATAGTTTGGACATTTAGGAGCAGGTAAACACCGTAACGTGACACGTTAGAGATGTCACTTGACAGCTGTGTGTAGTCCTTTAACTAAATCTGTCCCGAGACGCCGTCATTTCATAACAGTCTCAGTGCAGATCCAGGATTAGAAAGCCCTGCAGGATGGTCCCCCGTGTTTCCATTAAATTGTGGCATTGGGGGATTGATGTAATTGTTACAGAGGTGTTGATGAAACCAGGTTTTATTTTCAGCTCTCCCTGAAGGCCTGTGAGACCCCAGAGTTGCATCCAGTGTCTCACATTTTACTGGGTGTCTAAGAAGCAGCAGGAACCTTCTTAATTATTCCTACATGTTATTCGTCTCATATGTTGATTTGATGATTGTAGAAGGTGTGGACAGGAGATATGCAGTAACTTATTAAATGTACTGATAAATCCTGATACTCCTTGCAGATACATTTTTGCCATGAATATATTATCCATGCCTGTGCTGTCAGCAAAATCTAGTACATGTTTTATTTATGTGATGTGACTGTGGTGCTGGCACTGGCCTGCATTATAACAAAGGTGTTTTCAATGTCCTGTCCAACCCCCTTACAGGTACATGGCGCACATAAGGGAGGCAGAATAAAAACATAAACCAATACAACACCAGGCTAACCCCTATGGAGGGTGACAAAGGTTATCAGACAAGTCACAAGTATGACTGAATACACCTATAATTAATACACCTATAATTAATAC